AGAACACAAAAAGTATGACTTGTATTACGGCTGTCACTGTGAGATTCTGAGCGCAGTCAACAACTTTGGCCTCCATGACGCGGTGACAAAATATTACGGCTGAATATTATGATTCATGCCAAGCCCGTTTGTCATCTGCATGCAGAGTTCAGCACTTCCTGCATAGGAGGAGACGCCGCGCCGTCAAAGTAACATCCTTGTGTGACAATAACAACTCAGACAGCATTAGCAGGCCGCTCTAGGGCCACATTTCAAATCATGAGCTGATCCCTGTGACCTGCATTGCAAATGACGATTTTCTGGAAGCACAAAAGTAAGATGGAAAAGGTCAGCGGAAGTGTAGCGAAAACTAAATACATACAGATCAGGCTACTTCCTGGGTCACAAAGGATAACAATGACGTGGCTATCAGGGTGGGGAAAAATCTTTTTTTTTGACTCAAAACGAGGAATTTGCCACAATCTTTGAAGGTGTTCTGTTAAGTGAAGTTGTTCGGGATCCGTCTAGGAAAGCATCTCTGTAACATTTGAAATTCAAAACAGCAAATTTGGTTCTCGTAAAATGTATACGACAAACATTTCACCCATTTGCTGCTGATGTGACATCATATTTTGGATTTATGAACCACGAAATGGGGCATAAGAATCTAACCAGAACAGAACGTGGCACATGTATGACCCTGACATTATTACCTAGTTGGACATTGTAAAAAACCCCGACAGAGATGGAAATGGAAGCGCTCCATATATTAGTCAACGGTTCCAGGCAGTGCACAGGTCCTAACTAGCTGCCTGTTGTATACTCAGGGGCGCGCAGGCTGACATATGAGGGCTGAGGACAGCAGGTCTTCCTAGAATGCTAAACTTTCTCTCTGCTGGTTCGCCATATCTCTCCGTGCGCCCCATCCCCCAGACCGTGTGCCCTGAAACCAATCTGACGCCTAATTAATCCTGAAGGTCTTTTGTTCCGCTGAGGTTTCCCTCTTTTTCCCCCCTCTACTGCAGTCCATCCATCCACGCAATTCTGGATTTTTCCCCTCCACGGCAACACACCAACGCGCGCATTCTGTACACCGTATTCCTCACTTTGCCCATTTCGTCATCCCCAGAGAGGCTTAGCCTCGTCTTGCAAAGCGGGACAAAGGTAACGGATGGACTCAAGTTTTACACATTCAGCATCTTTTTTCCCAGGCAAAAGATTTTCTGCTAATTATAATAAACGCAGAGACCGAGAATGAATTAATGTCGGCGACAATGCAAATATCATAAAGCACAGCCACTGATCAGCTAATGTATCATTTTGGACCAAAAATGTTGAGGCTTGAAGATGGAGATGCCATTTTTAAAAAAAGATTTTTTTTTGCTGGTTACTGAGCATAAAAATAGAAATAATAAACTGAGATTGTGCTGAATTATCAGAGAGATTCTTATCCAACATAATAAAAGAGAATGTCAAGACAAAGTGTCATGACTGTACATTGAGACAAACGAAACAACACAAGGCACCGGTGTAGCATTAAAAGATGGGTTTAAAGGAACGTGGCCTGTGGAAATAGTCCCGAATTCAAGAGGATCATTTGGCAAACTGTGTGAGAAACCGTGAGGCGGAACTCCATAGATACACAGCAGTCACGTGAGTCCCCTTTCTTGCATCAATTACAGAGGTCGCAGACAATAATTACCGGCGATTAGGGCTGTTAAGTTCATGCGTTCATGACTAATTAACTTTAACGAACTAATGTAACATAATTTTAATGCCCCTATTTTCTTTAACGCAAATGAACACATGCTTTGCTTTTATGACCTTTTGATTTTGTGATAGCTCAGAGTGAGCAGCTCATCAGCTGTAGGCGCGGGGCTGTCAAACAATAGAACACGAGTCATGTGTTCATATCATACACTGTTAAGGGCAACCATTTTTATTCATTGCTTTAATTGTTTTGATAGTCAGAAGGTGGGGGGTCGGGTGAGCGCCAGAAACAGTTGCTCCCCAAATGTGCCATTTTCATAAGTACATCCGTTATTTTAAACTGGCTGCAGCTTTCTCCAGCGCTTTCCACTGAAAACATCATTATCCCATAAGGCCGAAGTCCAACAGGTGGATTTATTAAGATATGGATCCCGCAAGCCATCGAAGCCTGGATTTTCGCATCAGGTCTTTACAGTGGATATGAAAAAGTCTGCACACACCATTCCAATGCAAGGTTGAGACCAAGATAAAACATCTTTTTTTTTCCACCATTACTGTGGGCTACAAACTGTACAACTGGGAAAAAAAAAAAGATATTTACCACTCACATTCAAACTAATTTGAAATTGGAATCATCATACTCCTGCTTTGAAGTTCCTCTCATTTACCACAAATCAACTTACGGTGTTCTAGTTGGATTTTCCTGACATTTTTGTTCTTTCTAGCAGTAGCCTGAAGTTCAACTTTGGTTTCATTGCGCTTTAACACACCCCGCCGCAATTTTGAACTTGACATACGGGTGGCCTTTCAATGTTTCACACATACAATTCGCTTGCAATGTTGCCTCATTCACACAAAAATGAAACCAGGAGCAACTGGGAGTTTATTACCTTGCTGTGAGAGAACGTGGGACCCTGAACCAGAAGAAAAAAAAAAACCTATAAGCATGAATGCCAATTTTAGATGACAAGGTACATTATACGAGGTGAAAGCTAAAACGGACGTCTGCAAATAGTTTGTCAGGCTATTTGCACTACAACCATGGGTTGTTAATCACAGCTGATCCCAAGAGGACAGTGTGCTGCGGTGGCTGTCAAATAGTGTTGATCTGCCGTCATCGCTGCCCACATGCTGCGGTTGTAACACTACCAGCGCTGATTATGAAGTCCTCTCCAATGTGTCGTTCACACCTTCTCTCTCTGCGACTTGCCGTTTTATTTTTTTTGGAAGACGAGCGGCTTGGCCCGATCACTGTCTCAAATTTGTTGTGGCAATATTAATTAACGATCAGCTCGTCACAGCTGTTTATAGTGAGACGGATTAGAAGTGGGGGAGATTAGACAAAGAAAGCAATCTGTTGAAGACCCGCCTCCTGACAGGGGTCACCTTCAGATGCCTCAAATCATATTTAATTTGCTGTGCTGGAGGCAGGGAAATGACTCCACTTGACCATTTTGTAGCCTTCTCTATCTGCGAGGAGTAAGTGAATCAAATCACTTTGTCACATTTCATTTTCGATGATATCGCCACCGATGCAAGTATTCTGTAGGAACGCTTTGTTTACGTCCGCCATACCACTTCCCTGCTTTGAACCTGCCCTCTTTTTATGCTTTCTTGGTTCACTTTCCCCTTCATTAACCTTAATTGTCATTCAGCTCTGCCGCAGAGCACATTTCCCTAATCAAATGAACCTTAATCCAAGGTGGCAGAGTGCACCATCCTGACCACTAACCTCCGTGCTGTCCTTCCACAAGCACCTGCACCGACTCTCTCTCTCTCTCTGCAGCTGCACACATGTTTCAGACTCGGGCGACATGGCAACACTGCAGTGCCTTGTGACGGAGATGGAAGAGAGATTAAATGCCCAGTCGTGGCCCAAACAGAAGGCTAATCAGTCCACTTGGCAAAATAGGTGGCGGGATTACGCCAACACGTTCTCATAGGAAAGACGAAAGGTATTTTAAGAGGCAAGTTGGACCTTGATTGTTTTAGGATATAACCCTTCCCTGACCGGCTCTACTGCAGCTCTGCCATTCGTATCAACTCCCAAATTGGTTACCAAAGCACCTTCTGGCCAAGGCGAGAGTGATTGGACACTTTTTCGCAATCGATTAGCTGAATATTTGTGATGTTGTGTTTATACCCCTGCGCATGCACCGAAATTGTTGAACTTTTCTCCTTTAGCATTTGAAACATAGAAGTGGAGAGTCTGGCAGGCAGCGCGCGCCTGACTTTCAAGAAATTTCCACAAAAGAGTGCTCTCTGGAACGAAACTGGTGCGGTAAATCCTCTTAAAATCGCTTTAGACACCGTGGCAGAAGGGAGAAAGGAAAAAAGTTTCTCCAAGGCAAAACGCGCAGGTTTGCGAGGTTGATGTCATGCTCCGGGGAAGGACACTTGCTGGTTTATTTTTTTCAGGGATGGGAAAGGATGTTAATGCTCCACAACATGTGCCTGACACAATGGTGTCAATAAAAGCCTTCAAGGAAAGACTTTCGGCGAGAAGACTATTGAGATACCGTTTGCAGAACAAGAAATAGAGTGTGGTGTTTTATCCGGCCTATTACTGGTTACAGTTTTATTACAACTGAAGATGAAATTGTGCTCACTGATGGTATAGGTCTGGAGAACTTAAATTCAAAAAGATGTGAGGTGCAATAGAATACAAAAGAATAGCCTTTGTTTTCAATTGCCAAAAATAGAAAGTTTAAGTTTCCAAATGACAAAATATAATTAGGATAGTTTTCTTTGGATGGAACTCTGCAGCTGAAATGATGTTTGGAATAGCATCAACAGGTGCCAGACAATTTTGTAAGTAGCTTCCTATTTCCTCATGTTCCTCCAAAACTAGTTTCCTGGCTCTGATTGCAATTTGGGTATTTAGCTAAATGGCCACGACGCGGGCTCCGTGTTTTGTTTGTCTCTTTTTGCTTCATAGCAAGTGACTGAATTTATTCTTGTCAACACCGTGAGGCCAGAAGACAATTTGCAAAATGGGCAATCAGTTTTAACCGTGTCCTGATGCGGATTTTGTTTCATTTGTTTTCTACCTTCTAATGCATGTCAAAAAGGCCAATAAACAAATAACATGGATTTAATGATCCATTGTGATCTGTGATACATTTGCTTGTTTTGTAAATGCAGTGACAGCCTTTGGGGTCTTGGAATTCAAAATTTAAGTTTCCAGAAGTATATGCAGCGGGAGTTGCAAGTATACTTGCATTCATTCAGTCATGACAGCACCTCGTATGTTTGGAGCGTGTGCCAAACAAACGTAGCGACACGGGCAAGAGAGCTAATTCTGAACTCACCTGGGGTAAATGAGGGCATATCTTCCTGCTGGTTTTGAGACTCATCCGGCCTTCAGGGGCTGTCCTGATATTGAAGAGGGCCTCAAGAGCACACTGGGCTGCCTGGGTCTTGGCCATCTTCTTGCTGCGACCGCAGCCCTCAAAAATCCGTCCATCCACGCGTACCGCCATCACAAAGCTACGCAGTCGCCTGCCCTCGGCTCGCTCAGAAAGACAGGCGTAACGCAAGCCGGGACGGAGCTCATTGAGCAGGACTACGGCACTCTTGGGCGCGTTTGGCTCTGGAACAATTCCCCCTAACCGTTGCTGAGCTTGTACCATCAGGTCCAAGGTATGGCAAATTAAGCGTCCATGTCTGAGTAGCTCACTTGATAATAGCTGACTTTCTGTTTCTGAATTGCAAAAGGAGAGGCCGGCAGAGCACGGGGAAGATTCAAACTCCTTGAAAAGAGTGTCAGGGAAACCAGCTTGGTCCGAGGTGAAGTCAACGGATGGGTTTGAAATGTTTCCCATGGCGAGGTGGGCCTGAGGAGCATTGGGAAACTGAATAAAGGATTTAAGAGCTTGTTCCGCAGCCCTCATCTTAGCTTTCTTCTTTGTGGGACCCGTTCCTTCAAAGGTCAATCCGTTCACCTCAACGGCAATGGAGAAAACAGGAGCGTGGACCGGACCCGTTTGTGACACCATGCGATACTGAAGACCTGGCCGGAGCTCATTGAGCTGAACCAACGCATTCTTTGGTACCTCGGACCAGGACAGTTTCTTGTAGATCAGACGGAGTTGGCTCAAGTGGCCGTTGTTGTCTTCCTCCAGAGGCCGTTTTCTCTTCAGGCTAGAACTCCCACTTCTTGTGGGGTCAGAGCAGAAGCGCGATTGACACTCAGCAGATGCTAGGGAGCGATCCTCCAAGTTATCAACGTTGCGGTTTTCTTTCACCTCTGCGCTGCTGGTACCTGAAGAGAAAAAAAACGTACTTAATCAGTGCTGAACAAAATAGATCCACGAAGTCCTTCCCGGCAGATTGAACAACTTGACATACAATGAAACGATAATGAACCAATCTCCTTGGTGCTATATAAGTGTTTTAAAATAGAAATCCCTTAAAATGTGGATGCAATCTGCCAAATCATTCTGTAATCTGCCTCTAAATTGCTTGGAAATCCTTGTTGTAAGTGAGAAACATTGGTCCCTGTGGCCAATGCAAAGCAGAAATCCGATTTGTAACGGGGGTGGGGTATTCCACCAGTGGCGGCCGCAGCGAGAAAGGATGAGAGAACTATCTGTGGCCTGCTTTATTTCACATTTCTCTCCTTCGCGAGAGCAGAGGCTGAATGGCTATGATGTGCTCTTCCGCTCTAGTTACAAAGTGGTGGATTGCATTACTGATGAAAAATGAACAACAAAAAATGGTTCGATCTCGCCCCCAAAGATTGCAATGCCATGTCTTTTTTGACGAGAATTCCTTTTGCACATTTGAAGAGATGTAGTAGCGTTGCTGTTCTGTCGACTGATTGATTGACTGATTGAAATACAATATTTGATCACCGCTTTCAGAACAGACGTTTTGGTCCAAATGGTGACAGTCCCTTCACTTCGATAAATACCAAGTAAGAGAATGAGAGAAAAGCAACATCGTCTTACTTAAACTGTCCTCGTCCTCCGTGCTGCTGTTCCCAGGGCTTGTGTACTTGAAGGGAGGGATCAATGCCGACAGCATACCGACTTTCTCTGGAAGTGAGACAAAGGACATACAGTATACAGTCAACATGAGCAAAGGAGCGCTGGCAAGGTTTTGATCGATCAAAAAGGTAAGGTGGCAAGGTATCATCGATTAAAAAGTCCTTGCTAAGTATTGGACCAAACTCGGGGACGGAGCTCATGGGATTGTACACCTGAGGTCTTTTATTTATTTATTTTTTTCCTGAAGCCTGACCATGAACACAGAGCCTTCACTTTTGGTGATAAACTGCTCTTCTGATTAGAGCTAACCTGAAGGCAGCCGCTCTCTCTCCCGTTCCCCCCAGGGGACCTCCTGTAGCCCAGGTATGCGTGTTGTTTGCAGATTGAAGCCCTATTAGAGCAAACACTGAGTTGGGTGCTCTTCATGCGGTGCTGAGCCGAATTGACAGACCAGTCAGGCTCCTTACACTCGCTCTGTGTTTGGAACATCAGCTAATCATCAATAAGAGAGATTTCAAGGAGAGGGAAGGATAGGGACGGGTTGCAGGTGGAATGACTTGAAATCGCTTTCAGACAATTTCCCATAGCTCAATGCTGTTTCAGGGCGGCACGGCGGTCGACTGGTTAGCACGTCGACCTCACAGTGCAAAGGTAGGGTTCGACTCCAGCCTTCCTGTATGGAGATTGCATGTTGTCCAGGTGCCTGCGTGGGTTTTCTCCGGGTACTCCAGTTTTCTCCCACATTCCAAAAACAGGCATGGCAGGTTAACGGAACACACGAAATTGTCCCTTGGTGTGTGACAGAGAGCGCAATTGGTTGCTCGCCTCTGTGTGCCCTGCGATTGGCTGGCAAGCAGCTCAGGGTGTACCCCGCCTACTGACCGAAGACGGCTGGGAAAGGCTTCAGCACGCCCACGACCCTTGTGAGGATAAGCGGTTTAGAAAATGGATGGACGGATAAATGCTGTATAATTTGGTAAAACATTACAGCGCAACAAACATGTTTGGGTAAGAGCATAAGGTTGTGAATGTGATTGGTCCTCGGTGAGCTCTTGCTCTCATCACAGCTCGACAGTACTCGAGAGGCAAATGGAGTCACTGACATGCACTGATATGCTCTAAACACAGAGGTTGCAAATGTGCTGGTCCTTAGGGGCCAACATGACAATACAGCCTTTTGAATTTTGACCTAATTATGGCCAAAAGCCAAATCCAAGCAGCAATTTGGACCTAAATGACTCTCCCGACGACCGTTATTTAGAGCATTTCCAATTCTGAGTCACTAACAAATACTGTCAGTGACTACGATATGCTCTAAACACAGAAGTTGCAAATGTGCTGGTCCTTAGAGGCCAACATCACAATACAGCCTTTTGAATTTTGACCTAATTATGGCCAAAAGCCAAATCCAAGCAGCAATTTGGACCTAAATGACTCTCCCGACGACCGTTATTTAGAGCATTTCCAATTCAGTCTCAAACATGGCTTTCCACATTCGGAGTTTTCTTCGAATTACATGTAGTCAAGGTGATTTGCTCACATCTGTTTCCTTTGCGTCACACTTTCCATTTAAGTACGCATGCAATGTAAATGTCTTTCTTGAAGGAACAAAATGGCATTGTAATGCAGATGTATGAAACCTCATAGCTGGATAAAGCCATGATGGGCAGTCATTCTTAAACAGGTCACAGGAGGGGGCATGAAGTGAGAAGAGGCGAGCGAAGCAGCGGGGGAGGGAAGAATGAGGCAGTCAAAGTTGTCGAGCTGGCTGGAGGAGAACAGGTGGAGAAAAATATGGAACGAGCAAACTGGGAAGGCACGGACAGGAGGAGACAGGAAAATAAACCAAAACTGCTTTTTCCCATGAGGGTTGAGGTGTGTTTGAGCCTAACCTGGCAAACGTTGGGCGAGAGGCGGGGTATATCTTGGACTGATCGCCAGACGTGACATGAATCCCAAAGTAGGAATCAGTATTGATCTGTACTAATGTAATGTTGAACTAAAATCCTGAAATGCCACCACTGATCGTCATTTCATTGCTTTACGCAGTGCTGGCACAAGCACACGTTGCTCTGATTCATGAGCGGGCTACAGTGTGCACAACAGCAAAGGCGGGTTCTTGTAGTGGTTAATAGTGTGAAGGGTGATTGATTTTCCCATTGAGGCGGTGTATATTTTCAACCTCATCAATCTGAACAGACAATACAGAACTCACACAATCATATTACGGCTATTGTTTTGAATATCGGTAAGCTGAGATGGAAGAGAGGAAATTTGACGCAAGAGCTCGTCTCATTGCTGTCAATGTATTGCTTTTCACATCTTTGTCTTTATGTCTTAAATAAATGCTATTAATCACACTTTCCACTTGCCTGCATTGGATATAAAGTGAAGTGGATCTGAACAAAACAACAAAGACAAAAAAATCTGTTTTAAAATAAAGCAGCATCCCCTTCAAATGTTGGGAAAAAGATGATGCTGTCTGATTTTTTTTTGTCCCAATAACAATAGCACATTAAAATGAGGAAAAAAAAAACTAAAATTGAAAAATGTTTTCGTTAATGACATAAAAACGAAAGTGCTTTTTAAAAATATGACTAACTAAAACTCACTATAATTACAGCAAAAATGTCCTTGGCTTTCATCTTTGGCAATCATGATCAGACATGACTTTTTGGGGTTCATTTTAATTGTATCTGTTTTGATCTTGCGGTATACCCGTACAGAAGAAGTGAAGGTCAAACAGCCGTTTGAGAGTTGCAATTTATTTTACTTACACTTGACTTTTTTTTATTTAATCTTGCTCTCAATGTCCACCTAAAAAAGTTGTAATAATATCCTAATGAGTCAAATCCTTCCAGCAACCAATGTTCTATCCTAGGGTCAATAAGGTGACTGTACATTTTGGAGAAGCAACTTTCGATTGGGCAGTCTGACTGCAAAGACTTCCTTTGGTGCAGAGTTCATCAAAGGTGTCACGCCTGATGTGGACTCCGTTACCTTGGGCGCCCTTCACAGTATCTCTCGTCCATTCCTCCTCATTCATCAGCATGAGTGAAGGAGACAACGCATGCCAATAAAGTCTCAGCTCACTGCGTCCATCCCCTCGGCGCGCGGCGTGACACAGACGGACGCGATCACGCTCGTTTGTTTCCACCAAAGTCGGGAGAGGCGAAGAAGGAGAGCCTTGGCACGTGGCCACGGGCCCCCGGATAGTGACAACAATTTGATGTGTGTCCGTTCACCACGTGAATGAGTCCTTGCTCTTCCTGTATCCGTTATGAGGAGAGGGTAATGAGCCCGAGCAGATTTCCCCGTGGCTCCGCACAACGAATGGGTCAGATGAGTGAAGGCGGACGCGACTGAAACAGGCTGTGGGGAAGGAGGGTGGGTGGGGGGGGGGAATCATTGACTGAATTTGTCTCTTTCTCACTCTTTGCCTCCCCTCTCTTCATCTTGTTTGTGTTTGTCTGCAAACCTCAAATTCACAAAATGAGAGGCTGCCTTGCCCCTCCTCCCCCGCCCCACTCCTCAAACATTTAACAGATTTTTGTCACATCCCTAATTTGGGTCTTCTGGACACTGCAGAAAAGTGGGGTTAAGAGGCGTTTATGTACCCATTTGTCACTATAGGGATCCAGAAGTCCTCACCTTTCCCTGCAAGACCGCCTTGCCAGAGTAAATTCCATTTAAGGATCGAAAGGAGCAAAGCAAACATGGTGTTTTGAGCTGGGAGTCATGACAACACTTTTTGTGCTGCAGAAGTCTTCGAAAATATAAAAATATTTATTGCCTTGAATCACCTTTTTTTTTCATTCTTCTTTTGTGGCTGGCAGGTTTTGCTTCTCGTGTAATCACGTTAAAAGCGATGCATGAAAACCTTTGAGGCTTGCAAACCATTAAATGTGTGTGAAATCCCCGTATTTGCATTGGGGGGAAAAAAAAATCCATGGAGGTTTCTAAAATAGCATTTGCCAGAAAACAAAACAGGGAAAAAAGAAAATGTGGCAATACAAATACAAATATATATATATATATATATATTTTTTTTTTTCCCCCAACAGTACAGAAGACCTTATAGTGACGTGGCTGGTTTCAGATAAGAACAAACTTGAAGAAAATTGGATGATAAAAGCTTTTTAATGTCACACGTGCACTCCAGAAAGACGGTGTTCAAAATAGCAATACGATATGAATTTTTCACACCATGTTTCATTGATGTTGTGCATCTAGCCTTGTCAAGTGAAAGTATGCTGTCTCTTAGACAATGTGAACGCAAAAGCTTTTAGCGCTGCAATAGAGGGCTCTCAATAATAGTGGGTTACAATGCCAAAAAGCCTTTGGGGAGGAAAAAGGTACGTCTTAAAAATGAGCAAACTAGCAGTAGAAATATAAAATTGTCCATAAAGAAAGTTGGCTCGAGAAAGAAACAAATATTTCTTTCTTTTTTTTTTTGTTTTGGCAGTCAAGAGCCAACAGGAACACAAAACAAATCACGATCTGTCCCTGATAAGTGTCAACTGTAATGCACACTCCTTTCCCTGCTCAACAAAATGCATGCTTGATGTCGGCCGTCATCCATGAGAATGAGTCATTTACAAGCCATCGGAAGAATCCGAGGACTCAAACCCGGATCAACTTTGTCACATCGCTCCGACGTATTTACAAGGCACAGCCAGGAAGATAACTCTTCGCCGTCATGACACAAAGCAGGTCAGTGATGTGTCTGCCGCTGTTTTGTTGCGCATCTTGCTCTGGCTCCTGCGGCACCCGCAACATGCGCAGCATTGTCATCGACACCAAAGCTCTTTAAAGCGTGTGACTTACTTCCTCTTCTCACATCTCATATTCATGTTCAGAGCGGCTGACCGTTAATAAGGATTGTCAGTCCAACGCAAACCTCCACCGAGGCTCAAAAGGGGCAATGGAAGTGCTAGTATGGCCCTCGTCTTCCATTGCTTGCTTGTTGTGTTTCAGGCTTGTTTCCCTTTTTTTTTTTTTTTAATATCTCAGTTTGTGAGTTTTGTGATATTGCATCCAAATTTCCTTAATAAAATCTCCAGGAATTGTCTGCTGATCTAACAGGAATGGAACTTGCTAGGCATGTGGTTAGCAGATGTCCTGTCCACATGCAACACTTGGCTGCCCTCAATTCTCTATATGACAGTAGTGTAACTGTGCATAAATGTAATCCAAGGTACGCGTGAACAAGTGCAAAAAGAAAAGTGTATTCCGCTTCATCCTGTGATATCAAGCGTCCATCTGACAATATGACAGAACTAATCTGACTCGTTCGCACTTTTGCGTTCCATAGAAACTGCCGCGCTGTTGGTTTAGACAAAAGCACAGATGGGACGTGGCCACTTTTGACGCCGGCTGTTCCATATCGCAGAGCCCGGCCGGCACATCTGGAAGGCAGCGAAAAGCATCTATGCGCTAATTTGTTTGTCACTACAAATTGAAGGTACGATCTGTCATTCTGCCATGCTTTGTTTTGCGGCGCCACGTTTGAAGAACATGGCTAGTCAGAAGTTTATGGCGGCTTGGTCACAGGAGACTTGCTCGCATGAGCCATCTGACGGTTGGAATGAAGAGGGACGAAGGCCGGGATTGTGTTGAAAAAAAAAAAAAGAGGAGACGGTACATCTGAATTTCTTGAGCTCAGTGAAATGTACATTAAGAAGAGGGGTCAAAAAGGTCAATAAGGTAAATAAGAACATCAGTGATAAGATCATTTAATGTGTTCAATACATTCGCGCAACGTAATTAGGGCAATGAATAATGTTTCAAACACTGACATTAAACTTTTGAAACAACTGTTGTTTTGTTCTTATTTGATTGTGAGGGTATTTAAAATGTACAGTATCTTACATACATATTTCTTAAGATACAATGGAAAGCAGAATTCTACAAGTGAAACTGGAAACACGGTGCCTTTGACTGAAATGTTAATGACTGCGCCGGTACAAAGATGTATTTTTCTTTTTTCCAGGTAAAAAAAAAAAAAAACACTTATCTGTTGACAAGCACTTTCCTGGACTACTTAAGAACAAATTAATATTGCAGGGGAGGATGTTGCTATGGTAATAGTAGCTGCAAAGAGACTTCGAAGCACTCCGCATCTCAGACTATTAACGTTAAGCTTTATTTAAATTGAAAAAGCAAAAGCAGCCGCGTCGTGCTGTGAGCCCGAACTCCCCAGTTTGCTTGAAGGAACTGGCAAATATTGTCCAATTTTTGGGAATATACAAAGTGATGCTGGTACTTACATCTTGTAATTTCACAAGAGAATGTTTGTTTCTTGTCATGCAGGATTTTGACTGAATAAAAGTATCGAACATTTAATTGAATGACAATCAACTTTCAACGCAGAACATGTTCGCGAGAACCATTTACTGTTGTTCTTTTTCTATGATCAGACAAGAGAGCCCTATAATTTTGAATATAATCTGGCGAAGGTATCTTAAATTCAAAAATCACGAGACCATTTGTCTTTAAGGAAACCAGCCAGGTCAAGTCAGTCCTCCCCTAAATGCAGAACCCGACACAGAACCGCACAGTCTTCCTTCCACAAGCCCACTTTCTGCACATTGGTTGCGTGAGTCATTCAAGGAGGGTTTAACCGGTGCAAAAAAAAAAAAAAAATAGCATTCACATGAATAAAACGAATGAGCAGAGAGCTAGACAAAAAAAAGAAAGAAATCCACAGTATTTCGCCTTTTTATTTTTTTAAAATTGTCACTACCTTCTGAGACGTGGCTTAAATAATGAAATGGTAGAATGGGCGCCTTCAGACGTTCTAAAAGCGTTTTGCTGTATTTCTTTAACTAGGTGTCACGAAAGTGAAGGTGTGTTGTCTGCTATGTGACAGCTTTAATACTGGCTGTTCTCAAAAGTCGAGTATGTCTTTAATCTTTAATTCCCTCGCCACTTCCTTCGTGAGTCTTACTTTTTGTGAAGTCACTTCTTGGGCTACTTATGTCCAGTATTTTATTATTTATTTATTTATTTATTTGGGGGTACCTCGACTCCAGTATCAAAATGCCTTAAGTTGCCTTCCAGGAGGCAAACGCTCAACATGGAAAAGGTCAAATCAGGATTTCCAACCCTTAAAAAAAGCTGCAAAGTGGACAGATTTTAGATACAAATTTCGTATTGACCCATGAATGGGTCTCATCATCATGGATGTTTTTTTTTCGAACTTTGTCAGTTTGAGGTATCGGATCAAAGGAGAAACAGACACGGACAAACCATAATGCCAGTCTAACGTCAAATTCAGTTTTCTCGCATGGATGGGTTGAAGGGCGAGCAAATCATAATCCAACAATGTAAATTAAGGTTCATTCATTTCGTTCACTCGGCTTCGTTCAATTCCTTCGATGCTCACAGACGAAAATATGGCACTGGGGTAGTACTGACTATTATTATCTCTGTGAAAATCATGTTTAAAGTCCTGAAAATTGCTTCCATTCATGCAATCCTGGCATCTTTCACTCACACACACACCTTCTGTGAGCCAGTGCTACCTTCCCACCACAGTCATGCCTCAATAAATTAGAAGTAATCATGATGCACAGAGAGGTCGTTATAGACATGTGCAAATTTGAATGGGCACACCGGGGGCTTCATTTGCACAACATTCACTTCTTTTGACTTTGAAGTGCATGTCACACCTGACCTGAAGTGGGAAAACTGGTGTACCACTCACTTCCACTTGTTCAAGTTAAAGATGCTAAATTATTTCCCATATAGTCCCAGAAATGTCATCTGACGATGTCATCGGCCTGGATCGAAACCGAATTGGAACCCATGTGTGTGTGTGTGTGTGTGTGTGTGTGTGTGTGTGTGTGTGTGTGTGGAAATTAAAAGTATGAAAGGGTCATTGATTGTATCATTGTACGTCAGACTTTTAGAACATTTTCTTTCAGAATTCAGCACAGGGTATATCATGGAAGATGAGATGGTATCTACTTTTTGTGGAAAGCAAAGCTTTTTGCTTATGGTGCATGACCCAAAACAGGCAAGTCCATGGAATGGAACATCGGCTTAGTATTGCTCTAATAGCCTCTGATGGGTATAAACAAACCGAGCTTGGCAGTGGTACACAACATGGCTGTGTGTACTCGAGAGCATGCTAAATGCTCTCTGACACTAATACAAGCCTCTGTCTGTTTAGATCCATACGAGCGAAAAAAAGGGGAACGCGCTTGTCCTTGCCCAGAGTCCAACTGTCTACTGGGTGTGTTAGCATGCCGACGTAATTTACGAGGAACATGTGTTAGTTCTGAATGCCACTGGGGATATTATTTGTGTCCAATGTCTTTACTCACCGTGAACACGACCAGTAACACATCTGATATAAGGCAGGAGAGTTCGATCGATGCTGGCCTCCTTTGACTTAACAACTCTCACGCCAGACTATAAACTAAAAGTGATAGACACTTTGAGTGTGAAAATATAGATAAATATCTAAACAAACAAACATGTATGCTCACATTCACAGCTTCATCCATGACACGCTGCCTTACTAATTCTCCCTTTGCTCTTTGGTTCTCCACTTGAGTTGTATTGACCCATCATGAATCATCCTCCCTTTTCATTATGTTGTGTTTTCACCTTTGTGTAATCATGGAAGTATTAAATCCCCGTTGAACCAAGGATTTCCTGTTCCTCCCAGAAAAAGACTCACAACAGAAATTCTATTGGCATTGTTCCCTAAGCACTGGCACGTAATATTAACACAGCCATCATACCGTGCTGTGTTCAGATATTGCGGTCAGAAAGTGGGATGCTTGTGACGACATTTTCAGGCTATTTTCAACCGTAATGTATCAAATGGTCAACAATTGCTGGCCTCCCAATCCACAGTCTGCCCTCTGTCTCTCTCAAACCTTTCGTATAATAACATTGTGGCGCAATCGCATGGTTGTACATTGACCTGAACAGCACTAGAAATTGGATCTTATTTCATGAACCTCTTCCTGAAACCAAGAAACGAGAGCATCCATCTGTAAGACGGTAAATCTGCCATGGCACTTCCGGGTGCTGTGGGACATGTTCAACTGTTGTCCCTTATGACAAATGTCAAATTCAAAGGCGCGTGTGTCGGCACGGATGCTTTGATGACACAACATCAATCGCAATTTTAGTATTGTCTCGTCGTTTAGAGTAACCGGCAGAGGTGGGCATTCGCTCAGCACCGACAGAAAGTCCGTCACTGACGGACGCCCATTTTGCTGAGAACTAACGATAGACAAGAAACTAAAAAAACGAACCGACAGGCTCACGCACCAGTGAAATGTACCGACGGAAGCGATGGCAGAAGCGCGGTTAAAATAACACGACGGACTGACCACCAGACGATTACCAGTTTAGTTCGGCTTGAAAGAAAATCTGTTATATTTAAGGACAACAGTTACACTTTTATGGTATGAAAATTTCATGGCAAATTGAGAATGTTTTCTCCGTCGCCTCGACTTACAGAATGAGGAACATTTCTGTTCATCGGTTTGCAATGCCCGGTTAAATTTCAGCCCGATGGCTTTGTGTTGCCATGTTTCATTGCCTGGTCAAACCGTGCCTTTGCCTCCAGCAGAGAGCCCCCATCTGAGTCACATGTCCCTGGAAGCAGCTTCTCAACTTGGCTGCACGGCGCCCTGCCTGTCAAACCGGCTATCGACCTATCAATCTGAGAGTGTGTCCACCTGCATGCGGCGATAAGGAGCTGTGGGTGTCTGTAGCCCTGACACCAGCTGATTTATGCCGGCCCCTTCCCTTCAGGAGTCCAGTTAGTCAGAAAATCACCAGTAACTCATGCTGTTTTTGTGCAAAACCGCTGTGACTTGTTTATTGCAACATTTCGACCATCTTGCATTTCTGTTTAGATACGTGGCGAGATCATGACATTTTAATTTACAGTATGGGAAAAATATGTAGACATTTAACACAGCAAATAACTCGATTATTCTGGCTTGAAGCTGATAAACGCTGTTTAAGTTTTTCACTGTGCCTAATGCAAAGCTTTTGCAACAAACAAAACAGGCCGCCTGATCACCTTTCGACATGAGATGCGCATTTTCCAATTTCACCGATTGCGTGCAGTAGTCACATAATCACCGATATGATCCCCCTCGATTAAACATGACATTTTCAAAGCCTGGTGTATCATCATTCCTTTTTTTCTTGTCGTGCTGGTGCCAAGTGACTCTGAAATGATACAGTCATAATGAGACAACGAGCCTCTGCACGGTTTTGGCTTCCGCATGACTCTGATAGAATATCGTACTGTATATTCAACACACCCAGAGTCTGTTTGCTGAGATAATTAAATTCTCAAAGGATGTGAGGAGATGCAGCACGTAAATTAATTTGTGCTGCAGCAACAGAAAGGATTGATACCCCTTATTCACTCCCAGAACAAATAAATTGGATGTTTTTTTTAATTAATTACTGTTCCAGTGCCATTAAACAGCATCACTTAACAGATGACTATAAAACAGAGTCAACACTTTTGATGTGTTACGACGACGACGTAAATGAGCCCTTCTTACTCAGCCATCAACGCTTCCACACAAACATTACCCCGAAAGAGGTTATGAAGAAGAAACTGGAACCACATTATTTCTAATTTCCTGACCACTTGCAGGTTAGCATAACATTACACTCAGGCTAAAAGACCGTACAGTGAAACTTTGATTCACTAACGAATGGGTTGACTGACACAATTCTCGCACACATAAGGCTTCTGTTCAAAAACATTTGTGAACGCTCACAGCGACCCGCCCGCACTGTAGCTCCAGCTTGGGCCCCGCCGTCTACTCATTGCCAGCCATGCAAAGGGCACTTAGCTCTGGATCTGGCATGGATTGATTGGAATTCCATTCATTTTAATGGGGAAAAATATTTGGTTTACAAACTAGCATTTCAGTTTGCGAACAAAGAACTGCAACACGGTTGAATTTGTGAACCGAGGTTCCACTGTCAATAAGAGTAAATGTGCTAACAATCAAAACCAAGCCCAATTTAATATCAAACTCAATATCTCAAATATTGCTGTACGGAATTGCCGTTTCTTCCAATACTAAAAACATTGTGCTACTTCGTTCATGTCCCATCCACCATCCCCGAGAGGGCTTCAAGTGCAAGATCCCGCCTTTGGTTCATTCAGTCCACAATCTATATTAAATATAATAAATAAATACAAGCTCATGCTTCAGAATGTAAGACAGAATTACGACAGGTATAACTGATAAAAGTTTTGAGTCTCTTGGCTGGGATAATGTGGGGCTGGATTTAATAGCCCGGCTGATAATCCATGTCAAGAAAGGCAGAAAAGGTCCATTTGACATGGGCTAACTTCCCCTTGTAATTAGAAAACCTCATTAAGTTCATGAAGTCATCCCTCGTGTTTGGAGATATGTTTGACATGCACCACATGTAGTCTTTGCCACGAGAATGGAGGCTAACTGAGGCTGTTCTCTTTTGAGACAGAATACACCGTGAGGTTTTTAGGCTCATATAAGGGACTATTGTTGGGGATATTTAAATACAAATAAACCTTTGTCATTTTGATCACAACACGCTGTTAGAAAATAAAAGCGGTGCGCGAACACACAGTAGTACTACGTTTACAAGGAAGGATATCAGTGTGACACATCCCTGAATGGCCCTTTGTCTTTTCTATTTATTAGTGGCCTTGAGCGACACTGTAACAGATGACTCGACGCCACAGCTAAAGGCCCAATTTTTTTTTTCCTCCCCCCTCAAGTTTGGCCAATGATTGTAATTTGGGTGTCAGTGAAAGCAGTGATTTATCATTGGCGGGCTTACTTAGCGGGCAACAAGCAAGGTGCTATTCATCTCTGTAGCAGACAAACTCAGTCAGACAGACACCGTTGTTGCCAGTGCCACCGTTGTGACTGATGCGGCCGGTGAAAAATAAAGTACTGGAGACAACACTTTACATGTGATGAGTTCCAATTTTCCTGATATACTGGGCTAGAAAAGCGCAGTTCGCTCAACGAGAAAATGGGGCTCTAACATTTTTTTCCCATTCTGGAGGAGGATGCCTCATGAAAGTGAAATATCGTGTGCAACATCATGTTTTCAATCCACTTCCTATTTTATTGGGGTTGGATAAGAACCTTTGTTATTTCATTCTATGGCCAGGTAACTATGTTGAAGTGAGGGGAGGAGCTCCATTTAGTAAGACCACAGCTTTGTCACCTAGAAAAACATCGATTTGCTGCCTCTTTGGTAATTATAGCAATTACTAACATTTTAGGTTGAGCGTCAGTAAGTTGCAGATTTTCACGATTACAGTTCAGTTTCTCTCCCGTGCAAGAAAAAAAAAACAACAGACACACCATTGTTAAAGGCGCACTTCATACATGTTTTGAGGTGGAGGGGTAAAAAAAAAAAGTTGACGTTTTGGTTGACATTTCCACTCCAATCCCACAGGTGGCGGTAATGCATTTTATACAATACTAATATGAATACAATTTCAATTACAGAGGTATGAAGTCTGCTTTTTTTCCTCAGTGTTAAGTTACAAACGGTACCATATTATTTCAATATGATATACGAGCACATTCATAAAAACACATGCTACTGTATCGGTCCCCTCCCGCACCCATCTGGTTTCTTCTGCGCTGCCAGGCTGAAACACCAGCCTGTGCTGCTGATAACAAAGACGAACCGCTTGCTTCCCTGCAGGTGAAAAACAAGCTGAACACCCAGATATCGTGGCTCGTGCAGCATGCTGAATTTACAATAAAACCTCTGTGGCATCAACATAAATCTACAGCATGTGCGTGTCCGGGATATGCATGACTTAATGCCCTAGTATGAATGCCAGAACATATATTCGTTTGAGAGGGAATACAGAGACACAGTGGACGCTAAGCACTTATTATTCAGCAGTAAATGAGGTCAAATACAGTTCTTGCAAAATTGTAATATTCGATGAAAATAGGATTCTGATGTCACACACTATACTTTTTTTTAGTTTTTTTTTAGTAGTAGTATTCAGATTTTAGCAATGGTTACCTTCTTTTTACACCTATTTTACACTTTAGCTATTAATGACACAGTCGTTATTACCAAGCACTAAAATTTGATGTGCTTTGTATACTGAGCGAAAATACAGCAACCTATGCACTGAGTGAAATTCATGGCAACTCGGAGAAAGGACTTCAGATACATGCCCGCTCACCTGAAAGACCGCAGCATAATTATCCGCCTTCATTGAGGATGGAGAAAGACATGGACGGAGAAACGTGCGATTGCATCTGCAGTCCGTCGACTCGTGTGGGTTGTATCAAAGGAAAAAAGTAATTAAATCGTTTGAGGATGTCATTGGAAATGAGGATTCTATCGTATGATGCCCGGAGCTTATCGTGTGCGCGTTTGTAACAGACGTGCCACTGTGCAGTGGAAGACGACACCTCTGTTGTGCATTTGTTAGCCGACGCAGCTAGTCGCTCCTCATTAACCTTCGGAAAGATAAGCCCCCTTTTTTAAGCCATGTTTGAGCAGCCTGTGTGAAGTATCTCCCACTGATATGCGGCTAGCCAACCACCACGAGCATCTTTCCCCTCATCTTTCACATTCATTACTCCTCTTCCGTCATCTCTGTTAGATTACCAGAATTAAATTTCAATTTTAATTACAGGCCGAAATATCTCCCCGAATCTCGCACCTGAGCCACGTTGAATCAGGCAACAAGCATTCTGGGATGGCGTGCTGTCGCGGGCTGCTAACAAGGTTAAAAGGTGCACAGTGTGTGTAATGGGAAGCAGAGGAACTCACTGAGCAATCGTTAACACTATATTAGGTACTCTCCCTCTTTGTCTCTTGCCATGTTACCTTCCTATTTTCCCAGTGAAATACACAGAGCGCCTTGTTAGAGGCACCAGGCTAGAAGTAATGTAATTTAGCTAAGTGGCGAATGCGGAGGTGCCAGATGTGTCTTTGCGCTGGATGCTGTCGGCTGCCCCGACGCAGCAAGCGCAGAGAGGACCTGAGCCGTGTACACCAATAGGCCTTATTTTAGCAGCAAACAAACAAAAAAAAAAAACTTGCACTCTTTCGCTGTCGTCCGATTGTCCAATTGGACCAATACATAATGATTACTTTTTTTTCCTTTTTTTAAATACTGGAGGCACAACAGAATCATTTTCAAATAAACAAATAAAATCTGCTCATTTAGCTTTGCGAAACTTTTGCTACTTTGAAAAATGGTCAAAAAATCAATTGATATTGTTAAAAATCTATACATTAAAAAAAAAAAAAAGTGTTTCCTCCGCAAATCGTTTTGTGGTGTTTGATCGACAAGGTGAGCCGCTGCCTATCAAAAGAATAATCACTGAGTCTGCACTCTCCAAGTACGACTGAGCAACAGTAAGTCCCACATATGCTCTTTGTCTCAAGCTGCAGGCGCTGATTTTACCGGGAACAATGTCATGCAGCCGGTAATACAATTACGCGTGAGAGGACTACATGTCGGGATGGTGAAAGGGGTTTTGTGACAGGATTTCACGACTATGAAAAGAGATTTTCTAATTAAGCAGTGGTGCATAATGGAAGTCTTTGAGCTTTCCGCTGTTTGAAATTGTGTGGCAATTAGATCATCATCTACGTTGTATGTGGAAAAACAGTACAATTAAGAAAAACATCACCAACATTGTGCACGTCATTTATTTTGAGCCCTTATTATACGACCATTGCACGGCAACACTCGCAGATAAACCAATATCAACCTCATTATTGATTGACTGCAAATATATTTTGTTCATTGATCTATGCCAGCAATGTATCGTGATACTCAGAACAAGTGAATGATTTACCATAGATGGCAGAAGCCACAACAGGCCGTGTGTCCAAGGTAGGAACCCAAACAAAATAAATACAATAATTTGCATCATGCTGGAAGAGAATTAAAGAAAAGTACAAAAAAAGGGCAAGATTTTTAATTATATTTGTTTTGAGGGCACCTTTCGCCATTTTTTTTTTGGAGTGGGTTGGGTGACATTTGCCAATCTAATTTTGGAGCAAAGTAAACAAACCAATGAATTTCAGCAAGAGCAACACTCATCTGACACATGGGGACCGCAGAAAATGGATGCGTCCGATGTGACGATAGCAAAATATTGACAACCCGTCTTCATTTCTTATGGACCAGTCCACGCTCAATGGCACTGCAACCACACAAACAAAACAAGTGTCGAATTCCTTCCATCTGGTCGTGTCAAATCGAAAGTGAACACTTAAAGAAGGACATTGAAAACTACAAAATGACTTACAAGTCAATAAAACTCATTTCTTCCAACGTAAATGCTCAGTGCACCGAGCCGCAGCCTCTCTGAAGCTTGGCGGTAACCGTAGCAACTGCAAACAATGCCAGCAGCTTCTCACACCAGCGAGTCCTTGATTGCAAACTGTGCTCCCGGATTTATAAACAGAGAACAGAGATTGACGTATTCTCTTTGTTTCTCTGCACTGAGCTCCACACACACACACACACACACACACACACACACACACACACACACACACACAAAAAACTGTCAAAGAAAAAGTGCGCTCACAGAGCTCCGGTCTTTGCAATGGCTTAAAAGTTTGTCACCTGCCCAATAAGCATCGTGGTGCCACGTGCCAACTTGCTCACACTTTTTT